CGGTGTCACCCTTGATAAAGGCATGACCTGGCAGAAACATACAGCATCCATAAAAACAAAATTCCAAATTGCGTTTCAGCAACTATATCCTTTGTTATGTAGATCCTCCAAATTGAGTTTGATAAACAAAGTTCGACTATATAAAATGATTATTAGACCAGCCATTACTTATGCTTGTGCGGCTTGGTGTTTTCTTGCCAAGACACACATGCAAAGTCTTCTCATGCAAAGCAGAACTTTGCGGACAATTTGCAACGCTCCATGGTATTTCTCAAATGAGACACTACACAGAGACCTTGATATTCCTTACTTGAGGGATTATGTCAAGCTTCAGGCGCAGCGACGTTATAGTCAAGCGGAATCGCACAGCAACCCTCTGTTGCGTGACTCAGTGGACTACACAGTGGAGCAAGTTCGTAAACATTCAAGGCCACGGCTCGCAGTGTAATCAAAAGTTAACGTGAATCTTTAGTAAACTCAAAATTACACTCTAACAAAACCGAATCAGAAAATTGTTTAGTTCACCTCAAAATTATTCCGTGTACCAAGTCAAAAAGCCTAGGTGTTTCCTCTTAAACTAAGCATATCTGTTCTTCTTTGTTCTTCTCCTTTTTTCTTCTCTTTCCCTTTCTCTTTTTCCTTGACTTTGTCTGGTTTCTGGGCAACCAGGACTGACAGATTCGACTAACGTACATCAGACAGTGACTAATTGGCAAAGGTCCTACGGACCGCCCAGACAAATAAATGACGAATAGTATGATATGTATGTTATTAAAATCTTATCTTGGACCAATCTTTTCGAATGTGTGATAAAATGTGGAAGACTCCATCTATTATGTATTCATCGGAAAAAGAGACCAAACTTAAACATATTCACGTATACTCCACGTCATCGCGCTCCAGGAACGCCGAGCACGTTACAGGGCGGTACCTACTAAGAATAAATGATTTGTGGTTCTACGACACGATCAAAAAGTTTGCAAAATTATTGCGGGCATCTATAGGGTCCAAACTTAAAGCTTGGAATTAATGTATTTTTTTAATTTAACTGTCATGACCAAAAAGAAAACTACTGTCTATTGTTGTTTTTAGTAGAAGTGTTAAATTATACTCGTCGTAAGTGTCGTAAGGCGCATTCATAAAGCAGGCTTTTAAAAAATGTCTTGACACATTAAAACGATATGATATGCATATGCATACAAGTATACCTAACCACCGCTTGAACAGGGACATCAGTGTGCAAACAGTTAATTTTTAATATTAGACTAAAAAATGAATAGTTAGGTGGAGTTGAAAGAAAAAGGATTTGAATACATAATAATATATACTAAATATTATACAAAACTTTGTTGCACAGACATTTTACCTCTAAAACCGGAAATACATATACTTGAAAATGAAAATCATTATAGATCTGAGGCCGTGGAACTCTCACTGTCATCAAGATTTATGATTGAAGGGGCAACGTGAGTATCAATGGTACCGTCTAATTCCCACATTTTAGGTTCGACCTTCAAAAAATCAATCTTTTTATTTTTAAGCAATTCTTGAATTTCTGATTTTTTTGTTGACGTTGTTGGAATTTTCTCTAATTTTCTGGAATGACGCATTATCTAATACTACAACCGAATTACATTCACGCTTTGGTAGAGAAAAATAGTTCATTTTGGACACTTTAAAACCGCTCCTATTGAAAGCATTAAAAACCCAACAAAATGATTGCCTGATTTCTTATCACGATATAGTTTAAACATGTACAAAAACAAAAATAAAATATAATTTTAGTTGAAATTCTTACAAGTATTGAAAAATATGTAGGTGTCAGCTTTGCAATCAATGTCCTGAACACTTGAGTCACTCCTTCCTTGCACTTTGTATTTATAAATGTTGATAATTATTTGTTTTTTCCTAACGCGAAAATGAGGCCTTTTAGCTCTTTTTTAGATGGTGTGCAGCTAATATCAACAACTTAATCAGCTGTATCCGTATGCGACATTTTGAGTTCTACGAAATTAAACTGACAAATCTAATAAGCACACAGTAATTACTACCAGTATAAATCTGATGCCAACTCTGTACTGTACGGCCAGCCACCGGGACAGCGGGCTTGCACGGTCGTATCGTCTCCCACCACCATCTGCTTTGTCATTGGTTTTGTGTATGGGCTCGACCTATTCTGCCCAATAACAGTTATGCGCCCTCTATCTTGAAATATATCAGTTTACTGTTCACGCAAAGCTCTCAAGGTCGTTTGGCACCGAAGGTCGGCACTCAAGGGCGTCCCAGAACATACAAACCCTATCTACTAACGCAAAATAAAATCTCTAGTTCTTATCGCTTCTACTCATACTATACGATTCTGGTTTACATACGTTATAAAATGCTTGTGAGCATTTTCGTACCGTCTTCTGGTCTGACTAGTTATACTCCTTGCACATAGTCTTCATTCTGATTCCGATCGTCACCCTCATATCACTCTCTAAAAATCTATTTTACCGCTTTTTCTTTTTCTTCAGAAAATCCGTAACTGAACAGCGTCTTTGTTTTTATTATCTCTTGTATTTCTTCAAAACTCTTTCCTTTAGTTTCCGGCACACAAAAAATACTAAAAGTCCCTGCCAAAAAGCAAAATATAGCGTACATCCAAACACTACCTGCCATTCCAAAATTTCATTCATGTTATTGAAAAAATTGGTAACTAAAAACGAAATACTCCAACATATTGTCGAAATCAGTACAGTTGCATTTTGTCTCTGATTATTGGGAAAGACTTCCGTACAAATTGTCCAAGCCACAGAGCTAATTCTGAAGTTATATGCAAAGATGTACAGTATCAGACTTGGTAGAGGTATCAAAGACATATTTCTAGTTGGCCAATTTGTAGACTCTTTAGAGAGATAAAGTCAGACCGAAAGTAGACCCTAAGAGCAAGAACCTTCTACCTTGACGGTCCACGATAAATGGACTAACCAAGCTGGCGAAAAAGACACAAATCGATGCAATCACAGAACACATATCAGAAGAGATATTTGAACCTGAAGCCAAAAAGATTGGTTGAAGATAGAACCCAATAGACCCAATACCACTCAATTCTTGTGTCGCAAGAAGCACTGATGAAATCAAAAATGCTTTCCTCAAGTTGGGGTATCTGAACATATCCATCATATTTGCGTTTCCTTCATTCTGTATTTGGTTTTGAATTTCTTTTAATTCCCCTATAATTTGAGCCTGATTTTTACTACGTCTAAGTAGCGCCATCGTCTTTTTATTTTTTTCTATATTATTTCCTCTTACTAAGAAATATGGAGACTCCGGTGCTAAAATACCAAAAAGAACAAAGAAAGCTGTGGGAATCGTAGCCACCACGATATTGAGTAGTTTATAAGACACAAAAGGTGCAAAAGAATAAGATAAGCAATTGCCAAGTGCACAAACAATGTTAAAAATTTGGGTTAATGCCCCTATATCGTGGTTCTGAGATATCTCGGCTACGTACAAAGGCAGTATGGCATAACTCGCTCCAACGGAGAATCCAGCGATGGCCCTAGCGAAGTAAAATAAGATGATGTTCTCAGCAAATGCCAAAGTGAAAAAGGATGAAGGTAGCTGCTGTAACTAAAAGCGCCGGCTTTCTACCAAATTTTTCAGTATCGAATCCACATGGATAGGGCCCGATAAGGGCACCAAGGAACAGCAGGGATCCAATCCAAGCATCTTCATATAATGTGATAGATTTTCCGAGCGGATTGATGGATGAATCATTGAAGTAAAGTTTTGTCAGTTCTGGTGATGGCCATGCGAGAGGTACGTCCGTTGGTGTTGCTAGAAGGCTAGCTGAAATTAAGACAAAGTATCAACAGTTTATAGTCACTTATATGAAGCGTCGGTATTGTTGTACCACACCAGTGTTACCGTAATACGTACAGGATGAGTTTTTAGCTCATAGTCGGTCGATAGCTTCATTACTATAAAAGGTATCAAAAAAGTTATATGCAACGATACTTGGAAAATATGCCGCTCACTATAGGGTGATCCGTGACTACATGGCATAAATGAAACACCATATACATTTCAGGATATTCTGAAAGGCTTCATCAAAGGTAGGAGCTTGGTATAGCATATTCTAGGGTTTGGATCGCTACCTTTGAAACATATTTTTTTGTGTAATGCCTTTACTGGGTGCTTGTAAACGTAAAATGTACGTTTTCTCATAAAATTCACATGAAACACTCTTTATATTTTTTAAGTTTTGGGCTGATGTCTTTATAAGCTTCTTTGGTATGCAACTCTTGGGAAGTTGAATTACTATTTTATTGTATATAAATACATAGAGGGACATATCTGCTATTTAAAACTAGATGAATTAGTTGATGAAACGGATGGTCTCAAATTATGAATGATCCTAATAGTAACGTGATGTATCAAATCGTATAGTACTAAAATGGCATTTAAACAAATATTGGTCAAACACGAAGAAGTACGACATGATGCGTAACCTGCAGAAAAGTTGTAGATACGACGAAACACGCTGTGATTGGTCAACCGACGGTTATCGATAAGATAAAAGCCTAGATGCGAAGAGCCTACGGAAAGTAGTGCAATATGTACTGATAGATTTAATTCGATGTATCGACAGCGTGGATCGAATTGAACGATCAATAGTGTTACATCAGTATATAATATTCAACAAGACATCAAAACTGTAACAGAGCTTGTTGGGGTAATAATACAATGCAATGAAATGGTAGAATTTGAGACCTGGTTTCGTATGTCCAATGGTTTCTGTTCGTTTTAGAGTAACGGTCTTTGCAGATGTCAGTGGCATAAACAACAAATATATAACATATCGCATATACGTAGCGGGAACTATTCAAAAGATGAGGTTATATTTCACAACAAACGGTGGGAAGTTCGAACGACCACGAACATTGTTTCCGAACCAGGACCATCATCAAACTCCGAAGAGACTGCTGCAGTAGCAAATAATGCTTCATCTACAGAGAAGGATAATGATGGCATCATGGTTCCTGCCTCCCCACCTTCGTCATCTCTGGCCAGCCCTTCTGTTACCCCAGCTCCTGCCTCCAACCATCATACTGCTTCTGGTCCTGGTCAAAGACCACTCAACAAGCCTCCGCCGAAGAAAATGAAAAGAAAAGACCAGGCTGTAGCCGAATTGCTTAAGGCGAGACAGGAGGACCGAGAGCAATTTGCGCACATGTTCGATAAAATCGGTGAAGTTGAAGACGAAACTGATTTATTTTTTAAATCGATCAGTTTGACGGTGAAGCGTATGAATCAAGATGTAGCGAATGAGCTAAAAACTAAAATATTCTCACTTGTAATGCAATATGAGTCAATAAATAGGCATCGCCAAGATTTACAATCGACCTCATCATCAGGTGCTTCTTATTGCTCAACACCAGTACCTGAACCAGAACCAGATTGATCCGATTAGGTGCTTATTTCAAATGCCCTGGGATTTACAATCGACCAGTTTTAAAATAAAGTTGAGATAATCTCACAATGTACAAAAATATTTCAAATAAAGAGGTTCCTACTCAGGTAGTATATATTTTAAGGCCACTTACCTCAAAGTAACAGCCAGTTTTTCTGCTGTTGTTATGGGCTTTGATACTCGGTTGTAGGCATGAACTTCCATTTTGTGCTCGATCAGAGATAACAAATAATTGAATTGTTCACGAGTAACTCTGAAGAATTCAACAAACTTCGTCTCATCATCAATCAGATGATTCCTTATTAACACGTTGAAAGCTCCTTCTTCTTGTCTCCGTAAAAACATCTTGTGGATTTCATCTCGTTTCCCGTACTTGGTGAGAAGATAATTCTCCTCCTCTTCAGACTTTTGAAGAAAATACTTGTAATAGGCCACCAATATCCTAAGTTTCTGGGTACGAGATAGTCCACTCCGCGACATGATTCGGCTGCGATTGAACGCTTCTTGGAAAACACTCCCCGCTTCCGTACGACTAGACCGAATTGGCAGGCGGAATTCGGTAAGCCGCTGCGCAATATATCCCGCCGCTAGGAAAACGTCGATGTAGGGCGTGCCGCAAGTTCCGCTGATACAAACATTCAATTTTTCTTCATAATTTTAATTTTAAAATCTTAACATCACTTTTGGCCTGTTGATCACGCTAGCTTTTTGAGGTTATTCCAGGATGTGAAATGGCAACGTTTTAATAATTAATTATTCAGTAACCTTTTTTAAATCCGTTTGTGGTGTGTGGTGCAAATTAAATCTATCAGTAATTTTTTTTAATATAATGTTTACTGAAGAAAAAATACATTTAGTAGCAAAAGAAAAAAAGTATATCCCGCAATAAACATATACAACAGCACAAGAAGCGAATGCTTCTGCGTATTGCACTTTTCCCCGTGAGGTCATCGCATCTAGGCTGGGGCATGACGTCTTTGGTGGCACTTAGCGACATTAATTATTTGTCGAAGTCTGAACTTACCGATAACCGTCGGTAGACCAAACACCACTTTCAGTAATAGTATCGACAACTTTTCCGCAGGCAACATGTCATACTTCGTCGTATTTGATCAATTTTTGTTTAAATGCCACTTTGATACTGTACGATTTGATACTTCACGTTACTTTTAGTATCATTTATAATTTGAAATCATCCGTTTCATCAACTCATTAATTTAGTATTAAATAGCAGATATGTCCCTCTATTATCTGAGAAGACAATTAGTGAACCTACATAGAAAAGAAGTACAGCAAACTTTAACATGAAAGAGTAAACAAAGACAAGTAGACCTTCGAGTTAAAAATATAATAGACGTCCTATGATAATAGAGAAGTTTCGTGATATTCAGAATCTCATAAGTAATGACATACCAGCAAACTATAGACTACATATAATCAGCCAGTGAAAAAATTATTGAAATTGGCGAATGAATGACAGATAAATTGATACTTAAATTTGGCGCATTATAGCGCGAAATCATTGCTGTTGTTCGTTCGCGTCTGACGTCACACTTCTCAAGTGCCCAACGTGTCGTTGCGTAGGCGTTCGACAGCGTTTGTGCGTTAGTCATTAGTCTATAGACAATTCATAAGACACACCTGTGCGCTCGGACATTTGGTTTTCAGTTGATAACTATTGAGTACTGCGTAAGTTCATACCATTATGGAAGCCGGATTTTTAAAAGGGTTAAGTGACAATTTGCCCAAAATTGACATTTATGCAGTGATGGAATTCATTTCTTCAAATCCATCATATACAAGCGCGGAAATAAAAGGTGTGAAACTTTGGAGGTAAGTATTTATGTCTACTGCTACACTATCACAACTAGCGGCAAAATTTGCGATACCCTACTGATGTTTTAAACAAATTAGTGTTGATGCTTAACATGAGTACAGATTTGCGAATATGACACGATACTTTTCTAAGATCTCATTAAAGAATATAATAACATTGCACATGCACACAGTAAAGAGTCAACCTACTTGACGCCTTTTTAGGGGGGTAAGTGACACTATAGTAGCTCACAGCTATTTCCGCTGGGTTGAAATAAGTGACCTGTAACATTAGTTGATAACTATTTCCCCTCCAAATGCCGCGTGTTCAGTGAAGTGAGCTTGGAAATCATATAATAACTAATAATCATAAATAAATAGTAAAGTGATATACTCGCAACAAAGTAGTCCTCACAGACATATATTGAACTTTTCGGTCCAATCTAATCACGCTTCATAAGTTTGCACCATTTCTTCCTTATATTTTCATGTGAAGGTGCGTAGAAAAAATGTTTATTAGGGGTAGTAATTGTTGTGCTCGTACATTTTGGAACGCTACGACCGCGGGTGTTGCAACTGGATACTGAAGTGCGACGTCACGCATAGCGTACAGACGAAATAAAAATAAATAAATAAATTAATAATTTTTTCACCATCTTGTTTCATTTTTCCTAAACTTTGATTTGAGCTGATACCAAAAAAATTTAAACTTGTCCATTATCAGATATTTAACATGTGGCTTTTATTTAATCCCATTCGTCATATCTTGGCATTATCTGTTTGTTTATTATTGTTATTAGGGCTAGTACACTGATACATGTCTATATTTATAGATTTGAAAATTATGGTAAGTAGATTTACAGTTCTCAGTAAATAATGGGTATGTTTTAGTATTTACCAGTGCTTATCGTCAGCAGTATTAATAGCTATTGAGGCGGCAACAGGCTAATTGCTGTTTTTTAAGAAAATAAAAAGATACCCTGTCACGAAAAATTTGTTTAATTGTATATTGCCTATATGTTTTCTTATATACGTTTAACATTTAATTTTGGGACACTGGTACGAAATTCTTTATATGGTGCGATTTTTTTTACACTTCAATTACTGCCAAGGTTTGAAAAATAAAAATATTAAGAAAAATTGAACGTTCGTGTCAGTGGAACTTGAGGCTCGCCCTAACAACGAATATGATGCAATGTCTGAACGTGGAGTCCGTGGGATGAAAACTGAGATTTAACGTCCAAAAAGCTTATCGCAAAGTCCAATTTACCGCCCGGTCGTAGATAATCGATGTTGATCGTGTACTAAGCGTATGAATATACTAGGGCCTGAACTTCCCATCGTTTGTTGTGAAATATATAACCTTACCTTTTCAATAGCACGCGCTACGTATTGGTATGCGATATGTTATATATTCGTTATTTATGCCACTGAAATCTGCAACGACGGTTGCTCTAAAATGAACTGAATTTTGGCCCATTAAGTTATGCTCCAGTTTTGGTACCTTTTTGTTATGCCCCGCTTTTTAAACCACAAGTTGGAGCCTTACAACCTCAATAGTTTGCCCATTTTCAGACGTATATTTACTTATAGACATAAAATGGGATAAAGCCTTTATCCTAATTTTCTATTTTGAATTCAGATGTCTCAGGTATGTATGAAGATTCCGGAGGATAACGAATATCAAAGGTTTTTTTTTGTTTTTTATATCGCAGCAGCCGCGCAGGCAGAAGCCTAAATGCCGGAACATCGCGGCTGCTATGACGTTGTGGGATGAAGAGGAGAACCCGTCAATTACGACGGATATCTTGCGGCCAGAGATAAAGTCAGCCACCCATCTGCAAAGCTTTTCTGGGAGGCCATAGGATGGAAGTTTGCTTAAGAGGGTAGCGTGCCACAGCTGATCGAACGCTTTCGTGATGTCAAGAGCAACGACATGAGCCTCACCATAAGACTGGATGAGCTTACTCCACAATTGCATGACGTAAGCTTGGAGGTACCCTGTGGATCGTTGGTGCCGGAAACCATACTGCCTGTAGCTAATCAAGCTGTGACGTTCGAGGTGGTCCAGAAGCTCGCGATTTATGCACCTCTCCATCACCTTACTTATAACAGAAAGCAGAGCTATAGGCCTGTAGTTGTAAGGGTCGATCTTAGATCCGTTTTTTGGGATGGGTTGGACATGAGCAAATTTCCAGTTTTCTGGGAAGGTGCCGGATTCATAAGATATCTGGAAGAGACGCGAAAGAACTGGAGCAAGCTCCGCTGCACACCTCTTCACTACAATGGCAGGAATCAAGTCCGGACGAGAAGCTTTGTTGATGTCGAGTGACAAGAGCACTCGTCTTACGGTCTTATGCCTGAATGTTACCTCCCGAATAGTGTAGTGAACCCTTTGAATTGACGGCACTTGAGCGTTGGGGGTTACGTCCATGGTGGAGTTGGCAGCAAAGATCTTGGCTAGCACTTCCGCCTTGGCCTTTGAGTCGAATACAATAGTTCCATCCTGACACGTAAGTGGTGGAAGGCTGCAGTGTGCTTGGCCAGCATCCAGAAACGCTGACTGCCATTGCGCTGCGACATTACCCTGTGCCTAACTTTTATATCATGCTGATTTTGGCATTGCGAACCGCTTCGTTATATTTGTTTCTGGACTCGACGACGGCTTGTCTGTTCTCTACAGTGGGGTTTTGTAAGAAGGTTCTGTGTGCCTTGACCTTCTGCTGGCGAGCAGTGTCACATGATTTGTTAAACCAGTCGTTGGACCCTGGTTTAGGCACTTTCACTGTGTGAGGGTAGTATTCCTCCATTCCGACGTGGATAATTTCTGTTATCGAAGAACAGACAGCCGACGCATCCGCGTCAGTGAAACAGACATCTCTCCAAGGAAAGTTAGAGCCCCTCCCAGTCGACATGTCCATAATGGCCGCTCGTGTATAATACTTGATGGCGAGCTGGGCCGTAGCAGACATCGGAAGATGAAAATCAAATCCTCTTGCAAAACAATTCTAATAAATGCCTAATATAGCGATGCCAATATTAAGGAGGACCTAAAAGCGACAAGCTAGATACTGAATACCCGGCAGATGACCTATGCACTCTAGACTTGATTGAAAATATACGGGCTGAATACCCGCGCGACTGTGAGTCCACCAAATCGGCCCGGCAAAGCCCGG